ATATTTGAAAGCTCTAATTGAGTGCTGGGATTATAGGCATGTACCAGTACATTTAGCTTTTCTTTCTTAGTCCAAAGGAATTTTGAAATAATTTCTTCTCTATTTATACAAATTGATGATGGTAGCTCCCTTCAATATAGATTAAAATTGCATACATGTACTAGAGGTCATAAAAATCTATGCTCTCACGGGACCAGAGATTTAGCTCAGTGATTCCACCGCCTGCCTTGCAAATGCAAGGTCCTGAGTTTGTCCGGAAAAAAAAAAAAAAAAAAAAAAAAAAAAAAGAGCTATGCTTTCCATTGGACATAGGAGGCCTTTGCTCCCAAATTTTGTTTCCTCTTGCTCAAGTGTGCTGGGGTTTTGGTGCAAGGAAGTGAGGGGAGAAATACAATAAATTGGGAGACAAGGAAGCTTGCATGTTGTTGCATCTCCTTACCTTTCTCAGCTCCTTCATATCCTTGTGGACTCGGAAGCAAACATGACCTGCATCAGTGGCCAGCATCTGCATATGCCTTTTAGGCAGACCCCTAGTTTTCTGAGGGAAGTGTTACTTTTCTGACCATTCATCTGGATTTAGGAGAAGAAGGGGTGGTGCTTTATGTCCTCATCATGAGAAATTTGGAGGAGCCTATCTCTTAAAACAAAAGTCTTGATTTTTAAAGGTCCATTTTTACTTTACTGGTTATATAACTGTCAAGAGGTAAGCAATTAACAAATCAGTTTGTATTCCTTGGGTCTGCTTACCTCCCAGGCAGTAAAGGACTCTAGACAGTCCATTTATGTTTTTAGCAGTTAACTGAGTATATAAACGTGCCATAGTAAAGTCTTATTCTATTAAGGGATCAAAGAAGCAGAGAAAGGGCAGGGGATTTAGCTCAGTGGTTCCACCACCTGCCTTATAAGCACAAAGTCCCGAGTTCGAACCCCGGTACCATAAAAGAAAAGAAAAGAAACAGAGAAAGCCAAACTGGAGGCGGAGGGGGAGCGGGAGCAGGAGAGGGAGGGGGGAGGAAAATGACTATTCTTGAAGAGTTTTACTTTTACCTGTCTTATCTTCCAGCAAATTCTGTTTTCACCTTTAGATCCATTTTGATTTTAGTTCAGAAAATGTAAAATATACTGTATGGGTCTTCCTTAATCTTCTGCATAGGGATATCCAATTTTCCCAGAACCACTTGTTAAAGAGGCTGTCTTTCCTTCAGTGTATGTCTGTAGCCCCTTTGTTAAAGATTAATGAGCTGAATGTGCCTAAGGTTGTTTCTGCTTGTCTATTTTGTTCTATTGAGCCACATGCCTGTCTTTGCTATCCTGGGTCTCTTCTGGTTCCACATGAATTTTAGGATTGTTTTCTCTAGATTTGTGAAAAATGCTGTTGGGGTTTTGACTTGGTGTTAAATCTGTGTATCAGACATTGGCATAGGCAAAGACTTTCTGAACAGAATCCCAAGGGGGTTAGAATTCCAAGAATCAACAGATGGGATCTTATCAAATTAAAAAGCTTCTATACAGCAAAGGAGACCCACAAAGTTAAGAGATAACCTGCAGAACAGGAAAAAAGTTTTGCCAGCTGTTCTTCAGACAGAGGACTAATATTTAGAATATGTGAAGAACTTAGCAGGGCATGATGGTACATACCTATAATACCAGCACTTGGGAGGCAAAGGCAGGATATGAGTTCAAGGCAAGCCTGAACTACATAGCAAGACCCTGTCTCAAAAAGAAAACAAAAGAATATTAGACTCCCCAGAATAAAAGACTTAATCAAAAAATGGGCAATTGCAATGAAGACACACTTCTTCAAAGTGCAAATGTTAAACACCCACATTAAAAAAAAGGTCAGTATCACTGGCCATTACAAATGGAAATTAAAACTACACTGAGATACTATCTTACCCCAGAAAGAATGGTTATCATCAAAAAATCATATAACAAATTGCTGTTAAGTATGTGAAGAAAAAGAAACCCATCAACACTGTTGGTGAGAATGTAAACTACTAAAAGCAATATGGAAATTAGTGTGGAGATACCTCAAAAAACTGAAAATCCTATTTGACCTGGCCATTCCTTCCTAAGGATCTTCTGAAAGACTTAAAATCATCATGTTACAAGGATACGTTCTACGGAGAGCCCTGCAGTGGGTTCTGATCTCCTGGTCACTGCTATGATGCATGGTGAGAAGCAAGACTTAGAGACAAAGTTAAAGAGACAGCGATATGGGAAGCCAGGATGAACAATGCTTATGTAAGCAAGGATGAACAAGCAAAGGCCCAGAGCTGTCAGTCTTTATTGGTGACATCATAGTTAGATTGAGGTAAAGGAGATACCTGGAGGGTCTGTGCTGCTATGGATGTGTTGCTGATTTGGGCAAGGCTTGTAAAGGAAGAGACAAAATATTTTTGAAGTAGAAATAGAACAGACAAAATGTGGGTTGTGGTTAATAATTAACCTTGTCTTTTAGTTATGGTTTTAACTTTGGGAATGGAATTTGGGTGAGTCACTCTAACCTCAGCACATAGGATCAGGCATGATTTGCTTCTCAAAACAAGCCTATTATGGGGTTAAATTATTTGGGGTTTTTTTGTTTTGTTTTTTTGGGGCAAGGTACAGGGATTGAACTTGGGTCCTTGCACTTGCAAAGCAGGTGGGGTTAATTCTTTACAGCCTGAACTGCTCACCACCTGCTATGGGCTAAATCAATGGGGTGGTCCCCCACAACATGCATAGCCATGTTTATAGCAGCACAAACTTACAATAGCTATAAAAAAGCATATATGATCCATCAACACATGAATAAAGAAAATGTGGTATTTATATATAATGGAGTACTATTCTGTAATAAACTTCAGGCATTCATAGGTAAATGGATGCAACCTGAGAACATAAAATGAAATAAGTCAGAAACACAAGCTTAAATATAGCATGATTTCTATTATATGAGGAAATGTATATATGTATATATAATGGAAGATAAATAGGAAGCAAGGAATTCAAATAATTCTCCAAATTATCTACTCTGTTTCAAAAATATTTTAAAGTGGGCTGGGGATTTAGCTAAGTGGTTCCAGCACCTGCCTTGCAAGCACAAGGACCCAAGTTCAATCCCTGGTACCAAAAAAAAAAAAAAAAAAAAAAAAAAAAAATTAAAGAATATCCTAATTTGTTTCCTTTATATTACTAGTTTCTTTTTGTTCATTGAAAAGTTTGCAGTAAGTTTGTTTTTTTCTTTGAGACAGGTATCGCTATGTAGTTCAGACTAGCCTTGAACTTGTAGCAATCCTCCTGCCTCAGCTGAGATTGTGTGTGCCACTATAACTGGCCTGGAGCAACTTTTCAAAAACACTTGAATTGATGCTAATGTGAAGACTTATGATGGGATCCCTACATAGCTTCAGGATAGGACTGATCACAGTTCAGACTCAGTAATCGCTGTGATAATATGCACTGAATTATCATCTCCTTCCCCTATTCCTATGAGAAACAGGATAGCTTCAGGATGGGGTTGATCACTATAAAAACTAATGTGTCATTTTATGGATTGGTCTGTGCATACTTTTCACCCCAAAAATTCATAAACTGAAACTCTTAACAGCCAGTAAGGAATTTGAAGTTAGAATCTTTATGGAGTTAAAGTCACAGAATAGGGCTTCCATCTTCCTGGGCTGGTGTCCTTATGTATCAGCCAGTCCTTACAAGAGAAACAGATTTAATGCAAGATACATAAAATGTAAGAATTTACAAGATTGCCTTACAATGACCACCTCCAGAGTCGGGTATGGAAGAGTGCCAAAGGGCTGTTTGCTCGTGGGTGATTCGAAGGATCCAGTTGAAGGCCTGAGCTCAGTGTCGTGTCCCATGTGAATCCATATCAGGAGGCCAAAGGGTTGATGCTGCAGGCTGAAGAGTCTGCACTGAAAGCCAGGAGAGGACTTCCAAGGTAAAAGTGAAGACGAGCTGCTCCGAAGAAAACAGAAATGATCCTTCCTTTTTTTTTTTTTTTTCATACCATTCTGGCAATGATCCTCCCTTGAGTAGGTCTTCCACACCCAGAACTACGCAGAGCCAATCTAGTTGGGCATTACTTACTCAAGTTGACACAGTCAATCAACAATCACACTTTATAAGAAGAAAAGACATCTGAGCTCCCCCAGCGCAATTCTTGCTTGCAAGAAGAGGATATGTGAGGACATAGCAGGAAGACGGAATTCTACAGCTAGGAAGATGATGGTTCAACAGGAAAAAAATTTAAGGGCACCTTGACCTTGAGGGGCACCTTGATCTAGTGTCCAGAATTGTGAGAAAATATATTTCTATTCATGCCACCTACTCTATAGTACTGTTTTATGGCAGTCCTAAGAGGCTACTTGTAGGTGGGAACTTTAATTTATTGTCTCGGGAGGAAGAACAGAAATTGGAATACAGAGAGGTCCTGGGATGCAGTATGCTGGGAGACTGCAGAGCAGCTGTGTGCAGGGCCCTGCCTGCCACCAGACCTTGCCCTCTTCATCTCTTCTACTGCTATTCCTAAGTTATAACTTTTTTAGTAAAATAACAAAGTGTTTTCCTGAGTTCTGTGAACCATTCTAGCAAATTATTAAACCTGAGGGTAGGTTCACGGGAATTCCTGGATTTGTAGCCATGCTGGACTAAGTATGGGTAGCCTGGGGTCCCAGGACTTGGGACTGCCTCTGAAGCGAGCACTGACTTTCGAGATAGCCTAGACCTGGGTCGTATCAGTACAGAAGAGAAATATAGGCCACATAGTTGATATCAAAGGATAAAGAATCAGAGTAGTGTCAGAAAACAAACCAGTAGTTGTTTAGTGCTGGTATTTTGAGTTACAAAGAATCATTAAATTCACAAATTTTGGTTCTTATATCATTTCATATTTATATTTTTTTAGGTCTTTAATAATATAAAAAAGGAGCAGATAACTTTTTGTAATTCAAAATCAAAACATAGGAGAAAATACAAGAAGTAATAAAGCTTCCTAGAAAAAATACACAAAGCAATAACAGATCATTTTATTTAAGTTCCTTTTTAGAATGAACGCATATAAGATTGTATACAATAGATCAATGGTTACCCAGTGACAAACAGAGTCACATAAAAATAATTTAAGGCAAGCTTTAGTATTTGGAATAAGTCAAATGAATACGGACTCAGTAGTAAGATTTTTCAAGACATTCTTTTACTGTGTAAAACTAAAAGAAAATTCATTTCAAATTTTAAATTAAATTCATTTGATATAATAATAACCATTAAGTCTACAAAGTCTTTGGCAAGTTGTTTGGTAGTATCCAAATCCTATAAAGTTTTTCTCAGTGTAAATTTTGGAATATCCTGTTTTTTTTTTTTTGTACCAGGGATTGAACTTTGGTCCTTGTGCTTGCAAGGCAGGTGGCAGAACTACTGAGCTTAATCCCCAGCCCTATCCTGAATTGTTAATAGGTTCACTTTCTGTCATTGGAAACTTAACAAAATTCTAAGGTATTTCTGCTATTTTAATTTTAAGAGATACAAATGATAAAATTATTTTTCTAGGTTAGTATCATTAAAGGATAGTCGCACTAAGGATAACACACTTTTAATGAAACCAAATATATTTTATTTTTTTGTAAACCAAATATATTTTAAAAAATGGAAATCACTGATTTAAACAAAAGTACAAACTACCATTAGAATCAACCTTATATTTATATAAGCATACTTATTTCTACTGAAAAAATGTTAAAGCACTTTTTCTTTTCTAAAGCACAAGAAATCAATCATGTGCTAGTTTTTCAAGGATTACATATGTTTTGCAATCTTTATTGCAATCTCTTAATCATGGTTGGCAATGAATTATCATGTTTTATAATCTCTACAGTAATCTCTTAACTTTTATACTTTCCAATGTGTTCACGGGCTATAATAAGCCTTTGAATTTGTGCTGTACCTTCATAAATCTGCAAGAAAAATATAAAGGAAGGTTAAATACATACAGTACATAGACACCTTGATTTATTCAATAATTTGGATAACAGTGTAAGTTCCATTGTAATAGCAAACCAAAGCAAATCATATATTGAGTCTGTAGACTATGAGTCTGAAAACTGTGAAAGTAACTTAATTATAAAAAGATACTTCACCAAAATTTGGGATAGAATCTTTACAACATCAAATAAAAGGCTATTATTCTTTTTAAAAATTGGGGAAATGAATAATGTTTCAAAAAATTCATCCAAGTTTTTTGAACTGTCCTTACTTAGTTGTTACCTTAGTTATTTTGTTTTTAATATCAATTCTGGTTTCTTTTCTTTTTTACTTTTTTTTCCCTCCTACTGCCTTAGAAACAGAGTTGTTAAATAATTCTTTTCTTTCTTCCACTTTTCTCTTTTTCTCCCTAAACGGAGTTGCATTATGTAGCACAGGCTATTCTCAAACTCACCATCTTTCTGCCTTATCCCCTTGAGTGCTGGAATTACAGGCATCTACCACCATGCTGGGCTATTTCTTTTTTTTACTATATTTCTTTTATCTAAATTTTTCTAACCACTACTATAATTTAGAAGTAATATATCCTTATCTCTTCATGTTGGCTTTTAATTCCAAATACGATTTCAATTAACTAAAGCATTGTCAGGCAACACTCAAAGCAAAGTAATTTCAAGTGGCATGCATACTTTTTGGAGAGCAAAATATGGACAATTAGCTAGAGTGTTAAAACTCAAAGAAAGTTGACCCAGACACATTATACATGTCCGTACCTCTTACTTTGTAGACTATGCCTTTTTAAAACCTAAACTTAGTAAAAAATAATGTTCTTTTTTTGCTGTTTGCTTTGTGTTTTGAGATAGGGTCTTGCTATATAGTCCAGGTTGGCCTTGAAATCTTGGTGATTCTCCTGCTTCATCAGCCTCTCTAGTGCTGGGATTACAGGTGTGCATCCCCATACCTGGCAAAAATATCCTTTCATGTGCCAATTCCAAAAACTGACTCACAGTCATCTATGATAGTCATTTATTATTCTAGCAGCATAAAATCCTTAAAATATCAGAAATCTACTGTCATTTATGAATAAGATATCCCCTCCTAAACAAAAGTCCATTTTAAGCTTACCTGATAGATCTTGGCATCTCTCATTAGTTTTTCTACTGGATATTCTGAATTAAATCCATAGCCTCCAAAAATCTGCACAGCATCAGAAGCTACTTGATTTGCGGTATCTCCAGCAAATGCCTTTGCAATAGAGGCATAAAAGGTATTTCGGCGACCAGCATCAACTTCCCAAGATGCTCTCTGGTAACTTAATCTGGCTAGCTCAACTTTCATTGCCATTTCTGCCAGCAAAAATGATACTCCTTGGTGCTAAAGTTAAAAAGAAACAGATTGTGGATGTCTAATGACAGAACTTAGAAGTTCTGAATAAACTTTAGACTTGCAGAAAAGTTATAACCAGCTTCCTCTAAAGTTAACCAATTACACAACCAGAGTACAATAATGAAGTACAGGGCATTCATGCTGGTAAATTTTATCAACTGAACTACAGACTTTTCTTAAACTTGGCCAAGGGTTACACTAATATCCCTTCTGTTCCAAAATCATACATTGAATTCACTCTTTTCTTCATAGTCTCTCCCAGGGTTTTTCCTCAGTCTTTCCTCATCTTTCATGACCTTTTCCCCTTTAAAGAATATTAATTGATCATCTTTTATAAAATATCCCTCAATTTGGGTTTATCTAATGTTTTCTTGTAATAAGAATGAGATTATGCAATTTGAGGACAAATATAAAAATGTGTCCTGGTGTCTGCTGGGCTTTCTCTTTAAAAATAGCAATGTAGGGCCAGGGATTTAGCTCAGTGATTCCACCGCCTGCCTCTCAAGCACAAGGACTGGAGTTCAATGCCCAGTAGCAAAAAACGGGGGTGGGGGCGATGTACTAGATATTGATAAACACTTCACATCCTCTAGAGCAGTGGTGGTGAACCTATGGCACGCGTGTTGAAGCAGGCTGTTTGTATCACTGAAAGCTTGAAAAGGTTCGCCATGACTGCTCTAGAAGCTCATAATTAGGACACAGAAATACTTCCAGTAAGAAATGGTAAGTGTTCATGACTTATCGAGATAAAATGTGTTACAGAATGGAAATACACATATATTATTATAAGAAAATTTCCAATATACAGTATGGTTACAATTTTGAAAAATATTCACAGAGTAAAAAAAGAACATACACCAAAATAATTCATTATAATTATGTGGATGGAAGGATTATGGGTTTTATTACATAATTTATACTGTTATAAACTACTTCACAATACAACAGAACATGTGCTTTAAAATGATTTATATTAGCCAGACATGATGGGGCACGCCTGTACTCCCAGCACTCTGGGAGACAGAGACAGCCCAGCCGAGGCAGCTCAGCAAGACCCTATCTCACAGTAAACGTAAAAGCCTGTGGGTGCATTTCAGGGCAAAGGAACTGGATTCAATCCCTACTGCCAATACATGAATGAAGGAATAATTAATAAGAAAGCAGTCTTGTACCTATTTAGAAACAATAAATGTTGAGATGATTAGAAACCTGCTTCATATAGGAAGTGGTATCAAAATGGATTTTGATGACATAGATGTTATAAAACACCACAAATTCTATAAACTGAATACATATTAATATGAACCAGAGGCCATAAAAATAAAACAAAAAATAGAGTGGTTCAACTTCATACTTTATGCTGTATTTGGTAACACAAACCTGACTGTACTGCTTTTGAATGTAACAAGTTGCTTGGGACCGGCAGAGAAATTAGGTCTTACAGGAGGCATAGTTACCCAGTGTGAATAACTCCCATGTGTAACAGGAAGGGTAATGTCCCCCTCTTATTTCTACTTGTCCTTTTCTAAGGATTTTTAAAAATTTATTAATATGTTTGCCTATAGTTAATTTATTGTTGGGAGTTTATACATGTACAAAACCAGCTCTTCTTCCCCTTCCCATTTGAAAAAGATTCCCCTACTTCCTGTTATCTATCCTTTATTTTTCTATTTATTTATATTTCGGGTTTCTCATATAGAAGAGACCACATGATATTTAAACTTGTATGTCTATATGCAGCATATTGTTGGATCTTACTTCTTGATCCATTTTGCTAGTCTGTTTCTTTTGATTAGTGAACTGAGACCATTAACATTGATGGTTATGTCTAATATGTACTGACTTTTCCTTGTTATTTTCCTGTTGTTGGGTCCTTTCCCCCGCACTCTGTTTAATGTCTAGGCTTGCCTGGTGGCTTATGTTGGGGTTTATTGAGTTGTAGTTCTTGTTATCTCTTTGTAGAATATCCTTCATGTAGGGGAAGTGGGAAGGGTAGGGGAAAGGAAATAAGGGAAAAGAAAAAAATATGAGAAAAGGACAAAATGGAAACAAAGTCTTTATAAATAGGGAGGGTAGAAGGGTGAAGGGAGGGCAGGGGTATGGGGAAAAGTGAGAACCAAGATCTGTCGTGTAAAGGTACAAGATCCCAATGATGAATGTAACTGTACTGTATACTTAAAAAGTACCAATAAACTCAATAAAACATTAAAAAAAAAGAATGTCCTTCAGTACATTTTGGAGTGCTAGTTTGGTGTTTATGAATTTCCTCAGGCATTCATTACAATGGAAGTATCTTTTCTCCATGTTTGAAAGATAGTTTTGTGGGGTACATCAAAATCTGCGTTGGAGGTGTTTTCTTTTAGGGTTTGAAATACTTCACTCCAACCTCTCCTTGACTTGAGGGTTTGTGTTGAGAAGTCTGCTGTGATTCTTATGGGATTTCCTTTATAGGTGATTTGTTTCTTTTCTCTAACAGCTTTTAATATTCTAATCTTGTGTTGAATTTATGGAAACTTGATTATTATATGCTTTGGTGTAGATTTTTATTTGATAATGGCTAACTGGAGTTCTATATGCCTCACTTATCTGTATGTCAAATCTTTCTGTGCTTGGGAAGTTTTGTCATTACTTCTATGAACAGGTTTTCTTTCTTTTTTTTTTTTTTTGGTACTTGAGATCAAACTCAGGACCTTGTATTTGCAAGGCAGGTGGCAGCACCACTAAACTAAATTCCCGACTATGAAGAGAATTTTTTATGTCATTTTTGCTATCTCCTTTTTCACTGATTCTTATCAATCTTAGGTTATTCTTCTTTGCATCATCCAGCAGCTGTTGGATTGATTTTTCGTGGTCTCTTGCTATTTTTAAGAAATCTTTCTTTTCATGGTCACGAACTGCAATCCTGTTTTCTATATCCAGTTTTCAGTCCTTACATTGGCTCATTTTACTGTGTATACTTTGTATAGTTATTGTGTAAAGTTTACTATATATACTGTGTATAGTTTTTGATCTCCTAGATACCTGTTTGAATCTGTTTCATGGATTTCATTTCTTTCCTCTGTTAGATATTCATGGTTTCCGTCATTTTTTAAGCTCCTTTTTTTTTTTTTTTTTAAAGTTGTATCTGCTTTAGAGTTTCTAAGCATGTGCTTCACTATGGTCACCATTTCTGTAGTTATCTGAGAAGTTATTTCTAATTTGATGTTTTTCTAGAGCCTCACTCATCTGTTTTGTTACTTCTGGTGTTACCATTACAGAGGGTCCAGGTGGGTGGTTTTCAATTTGTTGTACCTCATTGGCCCCCTAGTTTTGCCTTTGGTGAGATGGAAGTCTAGGGTTATATTTTGCTTAAGTATCTTTTCATTTTCTATTTTTAAAAAATTTAATCCATGGGTTGATGCTTGTAAATTGCTTATAGTGAGTAGCTTTATTGCTAGTATTTATAACCCTTAGAAAATGACTACTTCTCAGACATATCTTCTAGGTGCAGCTGGATTTTGAGTTTTGATACTTTTGCAAGATCCTGCTTCTTCAATTTATTGGGGAAGAGAAATTGCTGCCTACTTGGCCCAGCCCCTAGTTCTTTGGCAGTGGCCTACATAATTGTTATGCCCCTTAGGCAATATCAGTCTTAGCATACCAGAAAGAGTGATTAGAATTATGTCACCTTGGCTAAAGTAGTACAATCAGCTGTAACAACAGCATCAAATACAGCCTAGAAAATAACAAAATGGTAGCTATTTAACTGTACAAACTATCCTTAACCATACAAACTAGATTAATGGTTATATAACAAATTCTAGAACAAACCAGAAAATTGTATACAGTAAATAAGCCTCCCATATGGTGATTTTTACCCTGAGAAGAAAATTTAAAAGGGGCTAGAGGGAAATATAGATAAATAAAAGGGGAAGAAGAAATTAAAAACAAGGCTGGAGGAAGATTATGCAAACTTTGGGAAAGTGGTGAAGAAGACAGGAGGGAAAGAGAGAAGTTAGAAATAAAAAGAACAAAACAGAACAACAGTAACAAAAACAAAACAAACAAAAAACTAGTAACTTTTCACACTCATAAAAACCAAGAACAAATAGTGAAGCAAAAAACCAAAACCAAGAGTCTACTTCAAAGTTCTGTCTCTGCTGTCGCTGGTAGACAAAGTGACCCAATTAATTCTAGAAAGCCCCCTTTAATTCCACTGAAATCCAGGCTGGTTTCTGGCTGTGAGGCTGGAATCTGATTTGTTCAGTCTGTAACAAGCCAAGTGTCTCCTTCCCAGTTTGAACTCAGCAGCCTCACCCTGATACTGAGCCACTAGATGGAGCCAGTGGTTGCTCTGAGTTCTGAGATCAGCTGGGCCCTCTCTAAAATGGCTCTCTCCTGGGGGCCATCTGAACATGAATATATAACCATTCACTACAGTCTGCTGAGTCCACTGCTCCATTTCACTGGTCTGTTTCTTCATGGATGAGTGCATATGTACTGTTTCTAAGATTAAACCATTATAAACTTCTGTTATAAACATGTATCACTGTAATATAATGATTTTAACTCAGTTGGGACTATTCCTAGAAGGTGAATAGCTAGGCTGAAAGGAATTTCTATTTTTAGTCTTTTGAGGAATCTCCATAGTGGTTGGTGATACTAGTTTACAGTTCCACCAACATTATATAGAAGGGTTTCTTTTTTCCCACAGCCTCACCAGCATTTGTTACTATTTTATTTCTTGATGATAGCCATTTTGGAGTAAGATGGAAGCTCAGTGTTGTTTTAATTTGTATTTCTCTAATGGCCAGTGATGTTGAACATTTTTTCAGGTATTTGCTGGCCATCTGTACTTATTCTGAGAAATGTCTATTCATTCATTTGCCTATTTTTTTGGTACCAGGGATCGAACTTGGGACCTTGTCTTGAGAGGCACATAGAGGAACCATTGTGCTAAATCCTCAGCCCTTAATTTTTTTGTTTTTAATTTGGTATGATTCCATTTGTTGGTTCTTTGTTTTATTTCTTATGCCATTGGGGTTATGTTCAGAAAGTCTTCACCTACAACTATGTCTTCAAGAGTTTTACCTATTTTAGCTTTCAGCAGATTATTTGTTTTAAATTTAGATCTTAGATCCATTTTGATTTTAGTTTAGTACATGGTGAGATATATAGGTCTAAACTCAGTCATCTGCACATACATATCCAATTTTCCCAGCAATAAGTATTAAAAGGACTATCTTTTCTCCAGTGTATGTTTTGACCCCTTGTTGAAGATCAAATAGTGAAATATATCTGGGATTGTTTCTGCTCCCTCTATTCTGTTCTATTGATCCACATTTCTGTTTTTGAGCTTGTACCATGCTGTTTTAATTGTTGTTTTAATCACTGTAGCTTTCTAAGCCAAAGAGTTATTTTTCTTTTAACTTCACTTATTTTTAAATAGTTAAAATCAGTTCAAAGCTCAGAAAGCATCAGTGGATACTGTGATAGTTTAGATCTTAAATATCCTCTAAAAGATAACATTGTTCTTGCAAGGACACTTGCCTTGCAATACCTTTTTCCATCGGTGACCACAAGCTCCTATAACTAGTGGTATTTGTTTCAAAAGAACTTACACAGACTTCTCCTTCTGTCTTTGACCCAACTCCTATGATCTGCTGCAGAATGGGTATCCAAATTGCAATCACTTGCTATTTTCAAACTCTTTGGGACAGTCAGTCTGACATTCAACCTGAGTAAACATTTTGCAAAAGTAATGGTCCACAATTGATTGGAAATTAAGATCAAACTGGCCTTTTTTCCCAGATAGTTTGAATACAACTAACATAGGGGGTTCAGCCGGTAATAGGGGAGAGGATAGTTAATATTTTGTATTTTAAAAATAATTTCTGAATATATTAATGAGAGAGAGTGGTTTATAGTTCAACAGAGCACACACGATATTAAAATTACCTCTACAAGTAGCTTTCCAAAAGTTTTCCTTTCTAGGGCATACTTGGTAGCTTCATCCAAAGCTCTTTGTGCTAATCCAACTGCACCAGCAGCTACCTAGGATTTTAATATTTTATAAGCAAAAGTTCATGTTATCATTAAAATACACAGAAAATGGTTACTTCTCTAAGATTCAAAGTAAAGGATTCTACAAAGGGAAAATAATCTATAGCTAAAGGCTAGATAAGCACTGAAATATATATTATTTATAAATTAAAGGGCAGGGCAGGGGCTGGAGATGTAGCTCAGTGGTAAATGCATGCTTAGCATGTCTGAGGCCCTGGGTTTAAAACCTAGCAGTGGGAGAAATAAAAGGTAATGACAAACATAAGATTGGAGTCTAAAGAAGTCATTCTTCTGTTTAACAAGAGAAGCCTTCCTATAGGAAATATATATATATATATACATATATATATATGTATATATGTATATATATATATATATATTTTTTTTTTTTTGGTACTAGGGATCGAACTCAGGACCTTATGCTTGCCATGCAGGCAGTGGAACCACTGAGCTAAATCCCTGGCTGGGAAATATTCTTATTGAGTGAAGAAATTAAAAAATGACTACACAGTCAACAGGAATGATCTAACAGAGATTACATTAATTTTGCATGTGCTAAAATTATTTTTACAATGAGCAGCAATTATAAACACAAAAGTAACAGTATCTCTTCTCCACTTACTAAAATAAGCAGATACTTAAAATCACAACAAGCATACAATGTCAAAATAAAACAAATTACTTAATGTAACAGATTTTTAAAAATCCTATAGGGCTGGAGATTTAGCTCAGTGGTTCTGCCGCTGAGTTTGATCCCCAGTACCAAAAAAAAAAAAAAAAAAAAAAAAAAATCCTATAAAGATTATGGATTTCTGTTACTTACTGGAGGTCTAGTTCTATCAAAAGCTTCCATTGCAATTTTGAAACCAGCTCCTTCACCAATTAAAACGTTTTCTTTAGGCACTTTCACATCTTCAAAGACAATTCCTCTTGTGTCTGAACATCGCTGGCCCATGTTTAATTCCTAACAAGAAAATTGTCACATTTTAAGAAACATTTTTGTTACATCAATTTTAGCTTAAGTCATTGTTTTATGCCTTTGTAAATATCTAAAAGCAGAGGCAATCATCTATGGCTTGTAGTACCTTTTTTGTAAGGAAAGCTTTACTAAAATATGGACACACCTATGTGTTTACTTATCTTTTATGGCTCTGTATTATTGCAGCACTGAGGAAGCAGTTGTGACAGACCATACAGCATGTCAAGTCTGACACATTGACAATCTAGACCTTTCTCAAACAAGTTTGTCAAACCCTAGTTTAAAAAAAAAAGTATGTTGCAACTTTGAAATGATCATTACCCTAAAGATGTACAAATTGAGTATACTCTGTAAATGTTTTTTACTGTGTCAGAAAAAACATTTAGTAATAATTTGACTTGGGACCTTTAATCTTAGCTTAACTAATAGAACTAAAGTAATCAACTGATTAAAAAATGGGTTTTGTTTTGTTACAGCTCTTTCTTGAAATTAGGTTAAGGTAGCTTTTACTTGTTGAAAAATTCACCAATTTTATGTGGTTTCCCTTTATGTGGGGAATATATTCCAACATTCCCAGTGGCTGCCTGAAACCGTGGATTGTACCAAGTCTTTTATATACTATGTTTTTTCCTATATGCACACATTTTTAATCACATTTATCATATATATTAGGTAAAGTAAAAGTTTAAGAGTAGCAATAATATAGAGGAATTGTAACAATAAACTATAATAAACATTATTAAAAACTTATGAATTATTTCTGTAATTTTTCATTTAGTATTTTCAGACCATGTTTGACCATAGGTAATTGAAACTGTGGGAAGCAAAACTGTAAGTAAGGGAGGACTACTGTATGCATTTACTATACTTTGGACAAATGTATTTGTGTAACTACCATCACAATCAAGATACAGAATATTTCAGCACCTTGAGAAGTTATCTTTTATATACTCCAGCAACTTTTATCTTACCCTTGGATACAACAGAAGAGATTCTAGTGGGATTCTACAAATACATGATACTGGTTTTGAAATATATTTGATCTTCAAATTAGTTTTTCCAGTTCAGGACACACAAACCTACTCTGATATCTGACCAGGTATCTGTGCCTTCCAACACATAGAAGAAAATTCATTCATGTAACCTTTGGTAACTCTTAATTATCTTCTTCAGCTCCTCCTTTGCCTATGTATAGACTTGACTTAGTCATTAATAGGTGTTTTAAAATTCATTTTGCAAAAAAGCTTTACAATTATAAATGTGAGTTCCTCTTTCTAGTCTCTGTACAATCTTAAACCATTTTTGTTAACTCCCACTAGGAATACTTTAATGATTTCATTTCTTTGATTTCTCACATTTTAAACTCTTCTCTTTAGTCTACTTTAAGTGCTAAATTATTTCCACATATTTAGACTACAAAATATGTTAAATAATTTTTTCTTATTTCAATAAAATTTTCTTGCCTTTCCATATTGAAGGCTCTTGGCTGTTCTCACAATTTTCTCAGATGTAGATGGCTCTCTTAAAATGTATGATCTTGGGTGATCCATTTATGCCACATTGTTTTAATTCATGAAATGGGCAGAATGTCACTTATCCTAAGAAAAAGTTGCTATGCATGGGAAAAGAGTGGGAAAGTCTTTTGAAATACCTAAAACTCTACTCTTGGTCAGGCAATCTAAATGTTTGTTCGATTTCTATTTCATGATATGTCACAGCTGTTACTAGCATTCTCCATAGGTTGGTATTACGAACAGCCAATTTTTCAAAATAATTGCTCAACTTAAAACTTCAGCAACATCTAAACTATTTCACCTCAAAACACAGCTTTATTTTTATTTCAACTAAACAGATTATTTTATTTAAAAGATGCTTAAAAAGTAATTTTTATATCTAGTAAAAATAATACTTGAACTCTTAATTGCTGTTAAATATACACTTTACCTTTTTTCCAATCTGCACTCCTGGGCTATCTGCTTCCACGATAAATCCAGTAAAAGCTTTACTTGCAGGAGCTTTGGGATCTGGATCAGAACGTGCCAATAAAAAGTACCTGATACAAATATATACATGGTGGTGGTGATTAACCAAAGTGATTACTATCTCAGTTAATCCTCCCAACACCCCAATTATTATACTCCCATTTTACAGACAACAAATGAACAATCAGTTCCTGTAAGTCACATACCTATTATTTGGCAGAACTAGTATTTCAACTCGGGTCTACTACTTCACTAATATGGAACTTAACTTTTTTGGTAGCATGAGTTGTAGGTAAAGATTCCTTGTATTTTGTAATATAATATGATGAGAAAGTACATTCAAGTTCAAACTAGCATTTTTTTTCTTCCCTCAAACCAAGTTTATTCTTTAAGGAACAGGTATCTGTAGAAGGATGGCAAACAGGGCTGCTTATGATAGGAACATTATGTTCTGACTACTTCGTTATGTTTTGATTACTGTCCCCTTTTCCAGCAAAGGCATAGTATTTGTTATAGTTGAAAAAAAAAATTTTTTTTTCAGTACCAGGGATCGAACTCAGGACCTTGTGCTTGCCAGGCAGAAGTGGCACCACAGGGCTAAATCCCTGACCCTATAGTTGAATTATTTTAAGTATTTGCTAGTGCTTTCCTCCAGGAGGATTTCTGGTCAGAAAAGAGCTCGGGGTTATGGCTTAGTAGTAGAGTACAGACTTAGCATGTGCAAGGTGCTGGTTGAATTTTGAGAAGCACCAGAAAAAAAAAGCATTTTTGCTTAAACAATAAATTTATTTTCTATGCTTAAAACTAGCAAATTATCATTGATTGTAATTTAGTAACAGTAGAAAATTGAAGTTTTTTTTTCTATTTTCATATATTACTTGATTTATCTATTTGAAGAGTTCACACAGTAACTTTTTATTTTACTTTACAAATTAAACTTCTTAGAATTAACCTGACATAAACCATTCAGGGGTTAAAAACAGTTCTTGAAGATCACTGAACTATCTATAATCTCTTAAAACCTTCTTTTTATGAACATGGATTATTTTAATTGTGGCTTAAAAATAAGAAAGATTTTGAAATAAAGTAATTAAGAAATATACAGGGGGCCGGGAATTTAGCTCAGTGGTTCCACCACCTGCCTCGCAAGCACAAGGTCCCAAGTTTGATCCCTGGTACCTAAATAAATAAATAAATAGATAGATACTTTCAAGTGTGTGTGTTTTAAAGAAAGAAATATACAGAGGTGGTTTCAAAATCATACCAATTAGCTTTTCCTCCATTGGTTATCCACATCTTCTGACCATTAATAATGTACTCATCTCCTTTTTTTTCTGCTTTTGTCTTTATGCCAGCTACATCAGAGCCTGCTCCAGGTTCTGTTACACAGTAGGCCTGGAATATATGGAAATGAGAAAAAATTAAATGTTAAGTATTAAATTTTGAATGTCTGGAAACTAATCTTTTTATGTTAATTTTTCGTACTGGGTATTCAACCCAGGACATGCTATCACATTGTAGGCAAATGCTCCACCATTCAGCTATGTTCCCAATCCCTGTATTCTAGTTTTGAAGCCAATACTTTAAATATTGTAAAAATACCAACAATTTAAATGTTCTTTAAAAAATTACATGGCTCAAATGTAAAAACATTGTATATATAAATTAAACCATATCAAAAATTAAAACTGTAGGTATCTTCAAACCAATTCATTCAATTCAATTTAAATTGTACTCACTCAAATCTGAGTACCTATCATGTACTGTACTATGAACTAAGAGTTGGGGAAACTGAAAGATAGCTTGTCCTAGAGATTTTCACATTGTTAACAGAAATAAGTAACTATATTGTAATTCTATTCTAAATATGAAAGTTATGCATTAAGGACTTAAGAAACTAGCTTTCAGAAATGATATGTACATTAAGTATCATATGAGATAGTGTATGTAGTAATAAATATAGCATTTAAAAAGAAGTAGCACATAGCAAAATGTTCATGGTATTAAAGGGTATAAACATATAATGGATATACTGCATTATGACCCTGAGTGCTAAAAACATTTGTATATTTAAAAATCTAAGACAGTTATCCTAGCTAATTTCCTATCTGATTATGCCTGGGATTAGAAATATTTTTGCTCTTCTTTATATATTTTCAAATTTTCTATATTGAAAAGTTTAACAGGAAGTCAAAATATATTTACTGAGCTTTTAAATAATTGAATGAAGGGATTATTCAGAGTTTAAAATTCATGTGCCCATTGGCAATTTCCTTATTTAAACTTAGCTTATTTTGGGGACAACTAGTGCTATTAGGAAAAATATATAGTAAGCATTTATTAATATAGAAGTTATGATAACTCGGGAAATGTAGTAAATATATGTTTACATATATCAAAAGTACTAATAACAAATAAGGCTACAAAAGCAATGTTTAAAATACTTTTACTGGGGCTGGGGATTTAGCTCAGTAGTTCCGCGGCCCACCTCACAAGCTCAAGGACCTGAGTTTGAAATCCTGTACAAAAAAAAAACCTTTTACTTACATTTAAAAACTCAAATAATTCAGGACTACCAACTCATAACTAATATAATTATAAATATTCTTATCCACATATTAAGATAGTTCTAAGCATCTCCATGCTTCATCCATTATGTATTTCTATGGGTGCTATAGGAGAAGAATCTAGAGGTTTTATACAACTCATGGTAACACTGAGAATGTTTAGTCTACATTGCTTGTTGAGTAATTACCAATTATCAGGAAATATGTATAAATGTGTTAAATAGTTTTCCTGATCTTTAGGTATCTGAAATATATGAAAAACATTTATTTTCAATTATTAATTTATACTCTTTTAGGTAAATTCTCACAGTTTAAAATTAATAATAATCTACCATATTTCAGGGGTACAATCACACTTTGATTAAAATCTGTTTGACTAATAACCAATAAAAAATTTTAGGTAAAGAACAGTTTCAGAATAGACTCTTAGTATATATTAATATCTTTCTCCAAAAATCTAGTTTAAATACTTATTGTACACTATAATTCTAGCACTCTAGGCTGAAGCAGGAGGATTGCAAGCTCAAGCCCAGCCTGGGCGATTAAGTGAGATCCTGAATCAAAACGTTACAAGAGGGTCAGGGATGTAGCTTAGTGTGAAGGCTTTGGATTCAATCCCCAGTACTACCAAAAGAAAAAGAAAAAAGAAAAAGTATGTATTGAATTGCTTTCTCTTTTTGTGTTGTTTTTTGTTTTTTTGGTACCAGGGATTGAACTTGGGACCTTGCGCTTGTGAGGCAGGTGGAGGGACCACTGAGGTAAATCCCTGGCCCTTGAATTGCTTTCAAAGCTATTATTTCTTCAGTCACATGTTCACATTATTCTGATAGTAATTTAAAAGAATACTTGGCTCAAACACTTAAGTGTCCTACATTCAATCTCAATTCCTTCAGAAATGGTTTTTGAAAAGAACCATCTAGTTCTTATAGTGCAAAATTAGGTAAATACTGTTCCATAAAGTAGATACAAGTCTCCATAAAGTAGATACAAGTTCCTGGCATCCCAGGAACATGAAGTATTTCCTTGTATGGAAATAAGTAAGGGAATTATGATGATACTTTCTTGGAATTCCAGAAACATTACTGTACTTAAATATGGCACTAAGTTTTGTCTTTTGTCAGATAGTTCAATATATAAATATAGATTGAAAAGGAGAAACAGTAACTTCTTAACCCTTCTAAAACGTAAAATGTGGGCCAGGCATGGCAGTGTATGACCATAATCCCATCTACCTGGGCAGCTGAGGTAGGAGGACTATAGATCCAAGATCAGTGTGGGAAACTTAGATCTTATCTCAAAACAAAATAAATGGCTAAGGCCCTGAGTTCAATCCTCATTTAAAAAAAAAGTGAAATGTGAAATAAAACAGCAGTTATACATACTCACACACATCATCATTTCCTCAGTCATCCTTCCCAAATACTTCTTTTGTTGTTGCTCATTTCCAGCAATAATAACAGGCATTTGCTAACACAGAAAGTTGACATTAAAAGATCAAGTTTATTTTTATTACATATGAAAATTCAGACACTACAATTCAAATCAAAAGAACTACCCCCCCGACATGAGTTAAAAGAACCGGCATTTATTTCGCCTCTAAGTTAAAAAGGCTAAAACCAGGAGGAAATACATCTGCTAATCTCAGTATAACACTGTTATATGGAGAACTTGTTGGTGATACAACACAAAGGTTTATGACAGTAAAATGCTCAAACACAGCATTAAGTTTAGGATATGTGACATGGTGCTTATGATCAAGCCTCCTCAGAACTGCTCAGTAAGTTTCAGCACTGCCAGCAGTGATGGCCAGCCAACTTGGTCAGCTCCTGAATGCTGGCATTAAGCCTTGTCCTTGCCAAAGAATTCCCACTGCAGTTACATCCAAAGTATACAGTTTCCCCACAAGGCCAGCTAGGAGTCTTGGTACTGCAAACACCAGAACAAGGGTGAGCAAGCCTTGGAATCCGAACTTCAGGCTTCACAGCTGAAGCCTGTGTTCTTTTTTGTTGTTGCTGTTTAAACTGCTTTGTCAATGAATGGTAGCTTACCCCCAAAGAATTAGCTTCAACAGCAGTCTGAAACCCTGTACATCCATAAGCCAATTCTTCAGTAATTAAACACGCATCAAAGGTTCCAAGTCCAAGACCTCCTATGGTATCAAAATGTTTTAAGAGCCAGTTATAGTATCTAATGAATCTCAATCAAAATGAAGGCAAACTATTTTAATTACTTCCAATATGGTCTAACCTTGTTTAAAAGTAAAGTACAAATATAATATACATAAATATTCTGGCTGGCAGTAACAAGTTATACTTTTCTAAAATAAAAATTATTTATTTGTAGTCTGGACCTATGTTGTTTACATGTGATTTTGTAAAAACTTGCTTCAGTGCCCCTAAATCTTTGACACACTGATTTGATAGAAAGAGAGACAATCTCACACGCAAAAATAGTCTCAAAGGGCCAGGGATTTAACTCAGTAGTGCTGCTGCCTGCCTCGCAAGCACAAGGTCCTAAGTTCTATCCCCGGTACCGCCTCCCCCCAAAAAAACCTCTCATTGAAATGCAAGAAATTATTGAGAAAAAAATAATAAAATGAAATGCAACAAAATGATCAATTATATTCCAGAAGTTACCAAAGTTAGGATCAAATTAAGGTCGGAACCAGTTAAAAAAAGAAAAAGTGACTCTGAAGTGTTGAGTACAGATAACTAAAAGCATGCAAATACTGTAGTCAGAACAGGGAAAAACAAAAACAAGCCAGTTAACGTCAACATAATGTTTAAAAGAATGAATGGAATTTCACATTTTTCTTTTTAATATCCATTGTAGGACTAAAAATGTAAAGAAAGCTTACCACAACTCTGAGGAATGTGTGTGTTCATTAAACCAAGCTCCCAGGCTCTCTTAATTAGGGGCACAGGATACTAAAAGAAAAAGGAAAGAACAGAGATATAATGTATTCAATAAAGTTTGATTATATGATGCTATAAACAATTTAAGATGCCTTTCTCCTTAAAAATGTGTATACTTACTTCACCAGTTTTATCATATTTTGCAGCAACTGGGATTACTTCCTCCCTAGCAAATTTACGAGCAGTAGCTTGAAATTCTTTCTGCTGTTCAGTTAACTCTAAGGAAAAGATATTTAGGAAATATTAAAAGTGGTCAATTAATTGATTTACAGTGTGAACATTAACCTTTGATTAACTAGAAAATAAAAGATTACAGTGCAACTTATGACCGATAAAAATTTCACTAAGTAAAATCTGTCAATAATAATAAAACTGCAGGAAACAGGTAAGCTTTCTATCTACAAAAAGTAATAGCTATAGTTTTTTTAATTGATGAGGTAAAATACATAATTTTTATTTCTAGTTCTAAAGATTTATCGTGTTTACTAATGCTAAAATGAAACTAATGTATAAGACATGCCCCTAATCACAAGAATCGAAAGAAGTGTGACATTCTTTGACAAAAAAAATCAAGAAAATGTCTTTCAACCAATCGCCTAAAAATTAGCAATACCATAATTTCAATTTTACTCCTTTATGCCAGTTTGTATCTTTAAACTCATAGAAGTTTAAAGAAATTTGTAAATGTGATGGAAAAATTTCTCAAAAGATAGTAATATAAAACTTTTAGGACATAAAGGAAAAGATAGAAAAGATAGGAGATTATTACTTCACATTTGTTGCCTAGGGTTTTCATTTTAGAAAAGGGAAAGAAACATATTATTCCCTTTGTCTCTGACACCCCATTGCTCCCTAGTCCCAGGTCTGAGAACTTTACCTAATACTTTCACCAAACTGCAGTCCAAAAAAAATTGCGAAAACAGTTACCTAGCGTTGCGTATCAGAAGTATTTGTTGCATTCAGATATGTATGTTAAAAGCTACTTAGATAAATCAGCAAATTGGCCATTTATTTTGAGCTGTGCACTTAGGAAAAAGGGAAGGAAAACTATGTATGTATGCTGCTAACACATCCATGTATATGGTGCTGTGCTGCAGCAGAAAATGAAACCAGGAAGGAGAGTTTGACTAACTGAAGCATCTGTGGATGGTGATTGGTTGGACTCACTGACAGTCATTTTCAAGCTTACAGACATTCCAGAAAGACAGAACAGTACATATACCAAAACTAAATCCGAATCCTGGTTCACGTTTCTGAGCAGCTTTTGTATGTTGTGATCTCCACTCAACATGAGCAATACTTCTTAGGACCTGTAAAAGACAATTTAAAATAAATTTGATAAATTATCAGTCTTATTAAGAGAATCCTGATCAGTATAACTAAGTTTAGCGACTTGCTTAATCATACATAAATCCCTGTTTTAAAAGTCATTATTACTTAAATACCTTGGATTATACATTTAAATTCAATATGAAAATCTACATCATGCTAAACAGGCCAATATGAACATCGTATAGGATGTTAAAAAAAAGTAAGAAAAATAAAACTATCTGTTTGTATTTGCATTACTAGAGTAGAGAAGTTCCAGCCTAGAAATAGACTTAGGGTTACTATTCTGGAAAATCCAGCGGCAACCTCCTAGGATATTAGTGATTGAGAAAGTGGTGTGAAGAGAACAAGAGACGGGACTGTACCACAGCCCATGCCTCTGTGAAATTTCTTTGGAGGATCTCATTTTCTAAGATACACAGCTAACAAGATGGGTATCATTTAGTATTTTTTCTAAGATACCCTGACAAATCAGCATAAATACTGGAACACCGGATTATCCACTGCTGCTCTCACCGTGAAGCTGTGCGTTTGCCAGAGACCACAGGATTCAAAAATAAGTTTGCCAACTATTTGCCAGTTTGTTCTATTAATATACTTACTATCCAAAATATATTCATAGTTCTTCAAAATAATGTATTAAAAATACAAACGGATGCACAAATATTCCTTTGTAACCCATTTTTATATTAATGACAGCTTAACGGATACGGAAGAAACAATTAGCACTTTGATTAAAATTGCTTTGCTTTTTATTTTACTGGCACATTTTAGACATAATGATAACACTCATAATAAGGAATCTGTACCCCCGTACGTGATACGTCTTGCTTTTTTCCCCATTCCCCTCCCCTCCCTTCCACCCCCTTCCCCTCTTTATCCACAAAAGCTTTGTTTCCATATTTTTCCCTTCGGTTCTTTTTTTCTCATCCCTTCTTTCCTTTCTCTCCTTCCCCCTCCCTTGTTCCCCTTCTCATTTGAACATTTTCTTTCCATTTCTTGATATCGATTATACATTTCGGTCTTTATTAAAGTGAAACTGAAAATCCACAGGTGCTCCCCAGCAAAGGTTTGAAGATGGCCAGAGTTATACAGTTTACGTTTTAAAGGATTTTAGTGGAACTCTAAAAGAGGTGGATAATACAACAGTTTCTAGAACCCAATTGTTTTTTCAAGATATGTAAAGATAAACTGTCCAAGGGCCGGGGATTTAGCTAAGTTGTTCCGTCGCCTGCCTCACAAGCGCAAGCACTGGAGTTTGATCTCCAGTACCAAAAAAAGCCAAAAACAACAAAAATCAACTGTCCACTTTGTAAAAGACAATTTCAACCAATAAAGAGAACTGCCTACTTTTAAAGTAATACTATTAGACCATCGAATATGTACTTTAAATAGCCCTCTTAAAATAAGACCTCACACTGTAATTCCAAAGTAATTATTACATTGTATGAAAACATGGTTCTTTGCAATATTTATTAGCTTTATTTTGTGAGTAAAATATGCTTCTCTTGTCCTCACTGTCCAGTCTACACAGGACAAACCTATTCTTTACAGTCCTCACATGTGTTAGTTCAACGAATCCCAGGTCAAGCCTAGGATTAAGGCACTATTTTTATTCTTATCTTACATAGGAAGAACTGAGGTTCACAAAGGTCAAGTAAATTAGTCAAGGTCACTTTGCTCTTAGGTAGTAGAGTCAGGGTTCTGACTGCCCGCATTTACTATTAAGAGTCCATGCTGTCCGCCACCTTGCTATGCCGCTCTGTCAGTCAGTCTCCTAACTGGTCGTTCAGTTCCCCAAGGAAGAAAAACACACAAAAACCAGACTAAATAAACTGACTCTATTGAAATGTGTTTAAAAGCCACTGCACAAAAGTCATTCCTCACAAAGCCGGTAAAATGGTCCGCTGAGAGATTTTAAATTATTTAATGAATTTTAAGTAATTCACAAAAAGCCCATTTACATTGTTTTTTCCACAAAACATGTTATATAAAACAAACGTGCAAAGACGGCCAGAGATCACTGTTCACTGACCTGCTGACTGCATAATAATGTCAGTTATTTAGAGAGGAGCTCAGAGCAGAATCAAGAAATTGTACAAAATTTCCCCCTGGAATTGCTGAGTTTGAGGACAGGTTACAAACTTCTAGCTTCTATTCCTGATTAAGGATGATATTGGTAAGACTGTTTCTGTGTTCTTTTTTTTTAAAAAGCACCACTACAATGAAATACTCCCATGGTTTTCCTAGAAATTTCAGTGATACTTTATGATACTGAACAACCTAAATGGCAGTCTTGTCATCAAGAATATTTAAGAAATCAAAGGCGTTTGGAATCTAAGGTAATACTAGAATATGTAGACAAGTCGCATGAAAAGTTCTGCACTTGGGCTTTTCTTTTCCTTTGCACGTAGGCACCCGAAGGGTGCTCCTCCTCCTTAGGAAACCAAAGGCGTTCTAAATATATTAAGTACCCTAAGAGGCGGCTCAGCTTTCTCTCCCCTCCCCACTTCTGCAGGCCGGCAGGCTCGCGGCGCGACTCCCTTTCTAACTGCGTCGGGCGGGGAGCTCAATCCGAGGGTTCTGACGGCCGGCCGGGAGCCCGCGC